CTGTCCATGGGTTTGATGATGACTGTTTTAGATACAGCATCAAAGGCATGATCAATAGAGGAAATAATGGATAAGCTGGACTTAATCTAAGTTATAAACTTCTATGAATGTCACTGTCAAGAGACAGAAAACAAGCCATAGACTAGAAGAAATATTTGCAAAAGGCATATATGATTAAGGACTGTTATTTAAAATATACAAAAAGCTCTTAAACCCAGAAAAAAAAAATGAACAACCTGATTTTAAAATGGACAAAAGATCCAAACAGACATCTCACCAAAGAAGATATACAGATGGCAGATAAGCATATCATATGTTGTCAGAGAAATGCAAATTAAAACAACAATGAAATAGCACTACACACCTATTAGATGGCCAAAAGCTAAAACGCTGAAAACAACACTGGTGAGGGTGTGGAGGAACACGAACTCTCATTCTTTGCTGGTGGGATGGAAACAGTACACTTGGTAGTCACTTCGGGTTTCTTACAAAGCTAACCATAATCTTACCATCGATCCTATCAGCAACAGCACTCTTTGGTATTTTCCCAGATGAGTTGAGAACATGTCCACACACAAACACAAATACCTGCACATGTTCAAAACAGCTTTATGATTGCCAAAACTTGGAAGCAACTAAGATGTCCTTTAGTAGGTATTTGGACAAGTAAACTGTGGTAAAGCCAGATAATGTAATATTGTTCAGCATTAAAAAGAAATGAGCTTTCAAGCCACGGAAAAAATCTGGAGGTATCTTTAAAGCATATTACTGAGTAAAACGAGGCAATATGGAAGGGCTGCATACTGTATTATTCCAACTTTATGACTTCTGGAAAAGGCCAGCCTACGGAAGTAGTAAAAAGATCACTAGTTTCCTGGAACTGACTGGGCTGCGGGGAATGGATAGCCAGAGCACAGAGGACTTTCAGGGCAGCAAAACTACTCTGTACGATGCTATAAGGGTGGATATCATTGTACATTTGTCAAAGCCCATAGAATATACAGTACCAAGAGTGAACCCTAATGTAAGCTAAGGACTGTGAGTAACAGTGATGCATCAATGTACTTTCATCGACTTTAACAAATGCACCACTCTGGTGTGAGACGTTGATAGTCGGGGAGGCTGTGCATGTTTGGAGGTGACCACACATGTGGCTGAGCCGCTCTGACTCTGTTTGTCAGCTCCATCCTCCCCACTCCCCTTCCCTCATGACTGAACTTTTCACAAGGAATGCATCCAAGCCAGATGAGTTCCCTATCAACTTTTATCCTTGCCTTCATCTGATGACGAAAACTGGAAGAATGCCTTTTGCTAATGCAGGTAGTTAATGGTCTTGGGCGTCCAGGGGAGGAAAAAGCCCTGGTCTTAGTCCCTGTAGAAGTGCTTCTTGCTTCATAGTCAGATTCTATTTTTAGCTTTGGCCCCTTTAAATTCTCCTGTACCACCTGTACCCATGGGTGGTCAGTGCAGCTACGAATACCCCTGGATCATCTGTGTGCCAGATCCTTACTGCCTGTGTGTAAGTTACCCACAATAAACTTCCTCATTGCACTTTTGGAATTGCCTGCTTTGTTTTTCGATCTCAAAGTTCCTTCTCAGTTCGGAGGATATTATTCAATATCTTTGCCTCCCAAGTGGATATATTGGAAGTCTGTACTTTCTACTGAACATTACTATCCACCTAAAACTGCCCTAAAAAATAGTCTATTAAAAAATGTCATGGGCTATTAAAAATTCCACCATGAGATTGCAAATGTCTATTCATTTCTTTCCAGCTGAAGTTGAGGGCACAGCCAGCAATTAAAACATGATTTACATTAAGTTAAAGGATAAAGTAGCATTTTAAAACCAGCTGCCATTACTTGCATTATTTATTCATAGGGTGCTGTGTAATTGCAGATTTGTGCTGAATAAAGACAAATGTGTTCTCTTTATTGAAGAACTTACAGTCCAAAGATAGAATGGAAACTTAGGAACAACTTTAATTTTTCAGGATCATCAAAACAGGCATTCTAATGGAGGAAGTTAAGCCCAAAGGACTCTTCTGTGGATAAGACTTTTTACCCAACATCTATATTTACAGTTCTTGTACCTAACAGCATATTGAGAAGAACAAGACTGTCCTCAACTTGGCATTAGTGTTGGCCTGTATTGTTTTTTTTTTTGACTTCGCAAATTGTTATGGATGCATATTTTATGAATCTAATAATATCAAACAAATGACATTAAATTACACTCTCAACACTGAATTGTTCATATATGGAAAGGGGAATCTCTTGAGTTTCACTGAACCATTATCTATCATTCAGAAGTGTTCACCTCAGTATGAAAGGTGCTATGCTTAATGAATTCAGAAACAGCAGCTTTATATAATTGGAGAGTTAATTTTTTCTTTTCTTGATATTTAAATTTTCTTATATGTTTCCGTAACTAGTTCTTGGTATGCTTTAGTTGTGTTGTTTGTGGGTTTGTTTTGTTTGGGCCAGGTGAATTGTTTCCCCAAATTTACCTTAAAGCTTAATACATGAATTAAAACCACTATCCTCTTGAAGCTTTTCATGGTGCAACTTTCCTATCAGAGAAGACAGTTCGACACTGTAGAGCGTTAGATTATTATGATCACACTGAAGACATGTCCCACTACTCTCGCTTCCCACTTCCTGTTCCAACAGTATTAAACTACTTCCAAGTTCCCCCAAAGTTCCAGCATTTTATTCCTCTCTGTGTGTACGTACTTTTTCCTCTGCTTACAATGTTCCACCCTCCCTCTGCCTGGCTTCGCCCTTCACTTTGCAAACCTCAGTGTATGTGTGCCCTTTCCCAGGAAGCTCACCTTCCCTGCTGCCAAAGACAAACATTTTATCTGTTTCCATCCAGTAGCTTACCCAGATACAAGGTATATACTTCAAATGCTGCTGTTTAGCTCATGGTGCCGTACTGCAACTTATTTTTATTTAGTTATTTTTCACAACCTGTCCCTCTCTGAGTGAGTGATCTTTGTGTCTGGTTAGATGCTGTACTTTATTCATCTCTGTGTTCCCATGGCCTTACACATTGTCTGGCCCATAGGTGTTGCTTAAAAAGTGTTGGAAGAATTTAATAAAGTGATGCATATTACTCCACAGCAGCAGCAGCAGCGAGTAGCGTTTTATTTGAAATCCAGAATATGTTTGTTTACTGCTTAAAAATCAAAAGATAACCTAGAGTAGTTAGCTTCCTAACCATGCATTGCTGCCCCTCCACTTCCCGCCCCCACCCCTCCCCGTGGCATCTCAATATCCTTTTAACTTAAATGAGAAGCTGTTTTATTCTTGCTGTTTCTGCTGGTTGAGAAGTCAGTGTGATAGAGATGCATTAATGCAAGCGGGATTTGCCTAGACATCAATAAACGCAAAAGGCTCCCGGCGGGCCACTTGTAGTGTCAATAAAGGTTCATAATTACTTGCTCCTTTGAGCATTTTAGACCCAACCTCCTATTTGCTCTGTTGTAAATAGGAGACTGAAGACTTGAGAGGTTCTTAACTTTTTAAATCTTAGGGGAAGAATGGCAAACATTGCCAGGGATCGCAGGTTTTTAACCAAAGGTGTTGGCTGTTAGCTGTGTTATTTTAGGCTGTCAAGGGACTAGAAATTAAGAATACCTGCTTTTGCCCTCCTCCTTCCATGGAGGATTGGTGGTGAGTCTCACCTTTTCTGGGTTTAGGGAGGTGTAAACCCCAGGTACCAAGAGTGGATGACAGCTGGAGACACTGCTCAACCTGAAGGAACAAGGAACTGAACTGAGAGAGGCTCTGGGGGAAGGGATGGAGGCGGAGAGCTTGGAACCTGCTCAGATACATGGGGGAGATCCTGGCTTCCGGACACTGTCTCACGCGAGGGTACCACGGACCCATCTCCAGCAGCCCCGCGGTAAAAGGCAAACCATGGCGTGGTGTAACCGGAGTAGCAAGCTTCTCTTTGGGTGAGGGTGGGGACCAAAGACGTGGAGAGGTACTCTGACTAAAGACTTGACCCCAAGAATGGAAAAGTACCCCTGCCACACAATACAGTAGAAGTGACAAACAAACAAAACAAACAAAAGACAGTAGAGGGGAGGAGAGGGTGAAAATTAGGCTAAATACACATTATTGAGACTTTCAGAGAACTTGCTCTTCCGTCTTCCTTTCTTCTTCCTTCCTTCGTGTGTGTGTATGTAGGTACACTTGCGTTTAAACAGCAGTTTCTGCTTTTCTCATAATCCTGTTTCTCCACAGCGAAGTTTAAGTGGGATTGGGTTTTCCTTGACTGCTGCGTGAGGAGTTTCCAAATAGCAATGAATAAGAGTCACATAAATATCCATAAAGTTCCTAGTGACACCTCTGTCATCACTTGCTTCCTGCAAGATTCTGAGTTGGGGTGGTCATCTAGGACCCTCCCTGAGTGGACGATCTGCTGATCCGCTCATGTGTGTATCTGTACTTTCCAGATTGAGCTGTGCACGGAATATAAAACGTCCTCCGACTCCTTCCCCCTCCCTCCCCCACGCACTCTGCTAGGAAGGCGTGCGTTTGTGTGTGCGCGTGTGTATATTTAGCAAAGACACTTGGAAGAACCTACCCCTCTTGCTACCCACCCCGAGCTTTATCCGAGCAGGACATATCTCTGATCTGTCCCCAGCTGAAGTATCCCTTCCACGCTGATGCGGACAGACTATCTCGGTGCTTCCTTGTACACGGAGGTAACGCTTTGGTGTCCCGGGAGGGCGACCAGACTTAATCCTAGTGCGCTGCGCTCTTCACACGATGTGCGAGTACTGGTGCGTGCGTGAGTGTTTGCGTGTGTGTGTGTGTGTGTGTGTGTACATGACTGTGATTTTGTGAGCTTCCTCTCCCGGCACTGTGCAGGCAGCGCCGGCGACGTTACTCTCCAGCAACGCAAGGCAACAGCAGCCTCCGCCCCCTCAGTCCCGTGATTGGCTGGTTTTGCTCATCATTTCCCTGCTAGGAAAAGGGAAGGGCCAGTGACGCCCCCGAACCCAGCTGCAGAAGCGGCCGCCACCTCCAGTGCACAAGGTGTCTCTTCTGAAAAGAAATCTGAGCCCCAGGGAGGCAGCGCGGAGAGACTAGGGCAGGGCTGGCGGGAACCGCGAGGGAGAGCGCTGGGCAGCGTTGAGAGACCAGCGGGAGCTCGGCCGCAGAGGACCCTCGAGACCTGCTGCTGAAATCCCAGCCCCACGCTCTCCTCGCGCTTTACAGATTACCCCCCACGTCCCCGCGACTACATCTCCCCAAAACGGAGCCTTCACATGAAGAGAAGGTGAGGGAGCTGGGGCAACCAGGACTTTCCCGGGCACCCAAGATGCGCTCCATTAGGAAGAGGTGGACGATCTGCACGATAAGTCTGCTCCTGATCTTTTATAAGACAAAAGAAATAGCAAGAACTGAGGAGCACCAGGAGACGCAACTCATCGGGTAAATGCAAAGCTTCATTTTAGGATATGACAAAAAGTCTACCCGTAAATGAAATGTGACTATAGAGTGAGGGTTGGGATAGTATGTGTGCTCGTGTCAGCTTGTGTGTGTGTTCCGTCCCAGGAATTAAATAACAAAGGCTGTTGTTGAGGTGTGTGTGCTTCTCTACGGCGTGCTCCCGGTACGAGTTCAACTTGCACTGTGCGGTGATAGTGACAGTTGTGTTGGCGCCAGGGCTCGCACGCCAAGGAGAAGTCACCGCAGAAGTGTCAACAAAGAACGGGTGCCCTTGTCCTTTTCATGACAGGTCAGAACTCATCCGAGATGTCTTTATTCACCATCTGGTTGTCCTGCCTTCTTTCTCTGCCCTATCGCTATCCGGAGATTCTAGAGAAAGCTGGCTTCCTGAAAGGCTGAAGTTAAAGCCCAGAAAGCAGGAAATGTGTCTCCTCTGTTTCTTTACAATTCTTTGGCATTGGATAGGTCTGTGTATCTTAATTTTAATTAGAAACTCCAGGACAACCAACGATACTTACTTGCTCTCCGTGGGTAAAATGCATGGGCGTCATGGTTACAGTTTTGGAAACCGGGTACTGTAGCTTCACACAGACTGTATTTCTGCTTTCTTTAGTTTGTCTAGATGAGTGCAGAATCTTCCTCCACCCAGTAAGTTCTCTAAATATCACACTTCCTTCCTCCCTCCCCCTGGCCTCTGTGTCTTTGAAGTTTACCCAGGAGGTGGCTGCGACTTTGTGTTGCTTACAGAGCTTGGAAGCGTTTTCTGAGGATGTGAACCTGGTTGTCAACTCTGTTCAAAGTCCTGTTTCGGAAATCCTCCCTCATCTGGAGGCGTCCGTTGTTGCTATCGGAAACTCAGAACTAGCAGAGATATCAGCCTGGTTTTTATTTTCCCTGACATTTATGAAAACGAAGCTAGAACCTTTGCCATTGTGTGTGTTGGGGCGGGAGAGGGGCGCACAGGACCGCTAAAATGTGCGTGCGCGTACACACACACATACACACACACACACGCACAGAAACTTCATGCACTCCATTTCGTAATATTCCTGCTCCCCCCTAAGTAAAGAGAATTTAAGTGAGCAAGACTCCGGCTTATCCTTACAGAATAAATTGTTATTTTGTAGCAAATTAAGAAAGAAGTACAATCTAAAAGGACTGAAAGAATGAAAAAGCATATAAGGGATGGGTTGGATGATTGTTATGCATCAACAAATCTCTAAATGGTCTATTTTATTCGGGGCGGGGGGGGGTGCGATGCCGAACTCTATGAGGCCGTTAACACACGGAGTGGGTGGGTGGAAAATTCAGCCTAGCTCGATTGTCAGAAAAGAAGGGCTCCGGGCGGGGGTGTGGGCATCCTCTGTAGACCTGCGCTTTCCAGGCAGACAAAGGGGTCTTCAGGAAGGTGGTGAACCGGCGCCTGGGGGAAAGGCGGAGGCTGGGGCGTGGGGGTCGAGGCTCTTTGTTCCCTTCCGGTCTGGTGGGCTCCGAAGATAAGCTTGAGTCCAGACAAAGCGGCCAAGCCTCGCCAGGACTCTGAGGTTCGGGCCCTTGGCTCGCAACCTCTGGAGAGCGAGAGTGGGCGGGACGAGTGAGGCGAGAGGAGGCGCCACACGCTGCCAAGGCGCCTTCTCCCAGCCTCCCTAAACCGCCGGCAGGAAGGAGGAGCGCACCCCAAGTCCCTCTGGGGGAAACAGACTTGGGATGCCCCCACTTCGCGGGCGACCTTCCTCCTGTGGCCTTTGCTGGACGCGGCCGGGCGTGGACGAAGAGGAGGCGGGCGCAGGCAGGCAGGGACGCGGCGGTCGGGCTAGCCGCGGGGTTTCTCCCGCACCCTTTTCCGGCTGAGCCGACCTTTCCCAGCTCCTCTGAGATTGCGCGGGGCGGGCACAGGAGTTAATGAAGCAGGAGGAGAGGTGCGCACAGGGGCCTCCCCTTGCTCCCCGAGGGCTGGCAGCGTGGGTGGAAGAATGAGCGAGGAGACGGGGGAAGTTGTTGCAGGAATCAGGCCCCCTTAAAAATAATAATAATAACTTTTACTGCTCAGTCTCCAGCCGGGCTCCTCCTCCCTAATTAATCGCGTAATGACGGCTGTGCGGGGCGAGGCGGAGAGCCGACTGCCGGCGTCGCGCGTGCCCGTGTCCCTCAGCGCCCGCTCCCGCCGC